TATATATATATATATATATATATATATATATATATATATATATATATATATATATATATATATATATATATATATATATATATATATATTTGATTTTATTTGTTATATATAGTTGGTACTAAAAGCTTATAAAATAACAAATAAAGCTATTAAAATTAATAAAAATTGGACGGGTTGGATTATGATCCGTTATCTAACCCGTTTTGACCCCAAAAATTTGGATCAAGTTGGATCTTGACATATTTTTTGTCTTGATCTATTTTGATCCGTCTAAATTGAACCCAACCCACCTAATTGCACCCTAGTTGGGATTGCTTTGATTATCTTATTAGCTCGAGTATTATATGTAGATGCAATATATATATATATTCTGCCACGTGAATTTATTACTCGTTTAGCAAAAGAAAAAAAAGGTACGAACCTATCATGCATTAATAAATGCTATCAATTTTTTTCCCTTTAGAGACTGATAAACAGTTTAAAGATATTTTCATCACAAACAAATTAAATTAGATTTATTGAATATAGATTCGAAATCATAATTCTTTTTGTTTATTAAATTTAAGTAAAATATTTACTAAGTACTTCTTATCTCTTAATAAAAGGTTTGTTTGGATTATAACTAATACTATGTAGTAGATAGTTTGTAAGCCCTTGAATAAATAAGCAATTGCTTTTTGAGTAAAAATAGTTTTGCTACATATAGGAATAAAGTTTATGTACTTAAAACTTGCTTAATTATAAAATATACATTAAGTATATTATAATTATAGTAATTGTGCTTCAATATAAGTGCTAAAACTGCTAATAAATAATTGATGTGTTTAATTAAAAAAAAAGTGATAAGTGATATTTTTGTTAGAATGATTAAAATACACTTCAAATTTTATTTAAAATTTTATAAATTTAAAAGTATCAATATAAAGAAAAAGATGAACGGCAAATAAAATGAAGGGGAAGATATGTTATGAGAAAATTATTATGAAATAGAAGAGGAAAAAGTAGCAAAATACTTGGTCAAATTAAAGTACATAAGCTAAAATTCACAATTATGATGATCAACTTATGATTTTTGAGTAATTTATATAGAAAGAAATATTAAAAATACTTTTAAATTTGACGTGAATAATTTGTTTCATTCTCAAATTGTTGATGATAACTTTAAAAACACCTATTTGTTTGACTGATTGAACTTAAATAAACCCCCGATCCTTCAATAGAAATACACTTTTAAATTCTCATCAAGTTTAGAGGTATTTTCATCATTTCTCTCATTTATTATTAAGAAGTCTCATGCGCCCACAAAAGTTTAAAACCACTTACTATGTCACGTGACATATCAGGGGTATTGAAGCTGTATCTAAATTTTACCAATCAAGTCGATAAGTACTTTTAAAATGAAAAAAAAAGATAAATATACCTCCGAAATATCGTAAATGATATGCAGATTCGCTTCGTCATATATACTTTTGGGACATTGATGCCCTTGCCGTCCAAAAACTAAAACATATACCATTTATACTAACGAACATACACATGTAATAATCTTATCCGCCGATCCGACATTTATTAAATATCAGATCGATGGATAAGATTGCGTCACGTGTCCCTATTCAGTCTTCCGTTAGAGGGAATAACATATATGCTCTAGTTTTAAGACGGCAGGGACATCCATGTCCTAAAAGTACTGATGATATCTGCATACCATTTACGATATTTCGAGATATATTTATTCTTTTCCCTTTTTAAAATTATCAATAATTAGGACATGAAACTAACAATTTATGCCAAATTAAAGGTTCTCTCATTTATATCGATCACAATATTTGAGTCAAATTTATTGAGTTGTATCGAACGTGAAGCTATAAAGCCATATTCCGCTAAATCTCCACCACTCATTTCTAATCTAACGGTCAAGAATTGCCCGGGAAGGGTAAACACCACATTTATTAATCCCTCAAAGTGTGCCGTTTGATGTTCAAACTTTTGTCTCCTAACGTACCCTCAATAAAACCGTTAACGCCGTTAATCATTTTCACAGCCTTTTCATCTCCAACAGCACAAAAACTTAACGATTAATTAACGGCGCCGTCAATTACCCTTTCTCCATATATTCGTTATGTACAAAAAAAATAAATAAAATAATTTACTTTTTTGTGTCATTCAACGGGCAAAGGTTTTCTCAATTTCTCTCACTAGCAACTCTTTAAGATTTTTTTCTTCTTTTTGGGGTTCAAAGGGTTCGATCTTCGATGAATTTTAGCTGATTTTTTGTCATTTTTCTGTTAATTTGAGGTTTGTTTATGTTGAATTCTTGAAATTTCGTGAAAAGTTTGTTTTTTTCTATGAATCTATGACTGATTTATGATCAATTTTAGCTTTGATTTCATCTAATTCTACTTGATTTTGGTTAATTTGAATTGGG